AGTCAAGAAGAAAGCCCTGAGCCCAAACTTTTGTGGGGGGATAAGGAAGGGGTCCAGGAGGGGGATGTGGGGTGCACCTTGTGCAGTGAGGTGTGCTCCACCAGCTGGAAGGGTGCGGGGTCGATCTTGGCGCTGCTGAAGTCCACCAGCTGGTCCAGCTGCTCCTCCTCCCACTCTATGATCTGAGGGCGGGGGGACACGCCGTGGGGCAGGGCGGCACAGTCCCCCAAAGATGTCAGCGAAGACCCCCCTCCCTCCCCTTTCACCCAGCGTTCACCTGGGTTCACCAGTGTTCACCAGTTCACCCCCAGCCTCGGCACCCTGTGGAGATCTCCTGGGTCCCCCTGGGCAGCAGGGTCCTGCCTGTCCCTGCCCACCCCCTCACCTCTGCCGGAGTCATCTTGTCACCCAGGTCCATGTCCTCCTGCAAGAGAGGGCGGCGTGAACGGTGGGGCAGCAGGCAGCACGCCTGGCCACCGCTGCAGGCAGGGGGCAGGGAGGCTGCAGGCAGCGCGGAGGCAGCGACCGGGTAGGGTGCAGGCAGCGCATGCAGGCAGGGTGCAGGTAGCACGTGGGCAGGGCGCAGGTCAGGTAACATGAGCGGTTGAGAGGATGTAGGTGACACCATGATTGGACAAGGTGGGACAAGCCGGGCTCATGATTGGTGGAGGGATTGCAGGGTGTGTCATGATTGGCTGAGCAAAGTGGGGCAAATCCCATGGCCGTGACTGGCTGAGAGGCTCTGCGAAGGTTTGGGATTGGGAGGACACACGCCGTGATTGGCTGAGCAGAATCAGGACAGTCCAAGATTGGCTGCACAGACACAGGCCAAACATGATTGGCCAAGCAGAATCGTGCCAGCCCCCCCTGATTGGTTCAGAGAATCCACGCTGGGCTCCGATTGGCTGAGAAGAGCCGTGCCCAGCCTGCGATTGGCTGCAGCTTACCGTGATGGAAATGCGGACGTGTTTGGCCTTGCGATAGGCCATGCCCTGGGCCTGGCACCGGGCGGGGAGAGACAGTGGTGTTAGGGCATGGTGGGGCCGTGCCATGGGCAGGGATGGGATGGGACGGGATAGAATAGGACGGGATGAGAAGGGATGGATTGGGATGGGATGGGATGGGATGGGATGGGATGGGATGGGATGGGATGGGAAGGGAAGGGATGGGACAGGACGGGGCAGGACGGGGCGGGACGGGATGGGATG